CAATTTATTAAACTATTTACTTGAAATTGTTATTAACATCTACAAAATAATTTTGTACGCCAATGTATCGCGTCCACTTCGGTTAGATCCGCCACAAACCTGTCAATTTATGTGTATAAAGTGGGAAAATTGGCAAAAGCCTTTCCAACTTCTACTTGTGCTATATTCGACAATCCATTTTTTTGTGGATCCTCCGACGAGCGGTACGCAGATATTTTTTTCTTAACCATCCTCCCGAGTCCTATCGCTTGCCGAGTCCCTTACGTGTTGCGTTTGCGCGTTTGAAATTATTATATACTTGGGAAGCAACTTTTATGATGATTTTGTTTCAAACAGAATTAAAAAAATTTATTTTCAAATTTTTGTGTTTATGTAAAATTGACTTTGAAATCTCCAATCTTAAGGTGTTCAGTAGTTATTTTACTTTTTTTAGTATTGTTAACAAATTCCATTCTTTCACTGCTTTTGAAGATTGTTTTACCAACATTCAATTGAAAATTTTCTTTTTTCTACAAATTAAGATTTTTTAAATTGCTAGTAAATGAATGAATTAAGAACTATATTTTGGCTCCGGTACGCTTTAGGTACTTACGTTGAAATTTGGAAAAAAACATTGGTTACTCTAAAAAGTATTACATATTGTAGATACATTTCTAAAAAAAATACAGATAAGAAATTTTCTGTTAAAGTTACAATTTTATAGGCATTTCGCCTTAGGTAGGTATATCTACAATTTTTGATTTACAAAAGAATGTGTGCAGCTACATATTTTATTTTGTAAAAAATTGAAATTATTTTATAAATACATAATATTTTGATTCATTTATAAAAATGTTGTTTGCCATATTTTTTAAGTAATTCAAGAAAATTTCATTATTGTAAATATTTACATATTTTATCCAGTTAGATACTGAAACTCTTTGCAAAACTGTATGAAAATTATAAAATGTTAGGTTAGGAACATCAAAATCTTGCAACTTTTCTTAGAAAATATTCGGTTATCAGCATTTTTTTTTAGAAATGTCTACAGAATGGGTACTTTTTAATGTTCAATTTTTTTCCAAATTCCAAAAGTATCCGAATGCCGAAAAAAAGTATCCAGTATCCGGATACTTACAAATTTGGTCACGGATACGGATACCGGATACTGTATCCGGATACAGAAGTATCCGGATACTACCCAACTATGTAATGCGCGCGCGAGCACAGTTGACGGCGGTTTGGTGATTTTTTTGTTTTTACTGTTCGCTTTTAAGTTGTCAAGTACGAGCGTACGAGCAAGGCGCAGTGCAATATGGAGTAGACTGAAGAAAACATTTTGAAGCTAATTGGGCTTTACGAAACTTATCTTGTTTTGTGGGATCCACAACATAAATGTTATAAGTTATATAAAAAAAATGATACGTAGTTTTTTTGCTGTTTTTTGTCATTACAAAGTAAGTTTTTTATAGTTTTGTAGTTTTTTTATTGTTTTTTGTCACTGTTTATTATCTCATCTCTATAATACACTTTCTTATTAATAAACCTGTATAAATTTGTATTACTTACATTTTGGAAATACTTTGTTTCGATACTTTAAATAAATAACTTAAACTAGGAAACGAGTCTCCAGCAGCGAGAAATGTTAATGTTATCGCTAGTCTTTCCTTCACTGGAATAGCTTTTCTAAAGGTTGTATTCTTTCTTTGGATATGTGACCTAACTAAATAAATTAGTGTTTCAAAATCGGTACTACTCATGCGACAAATATTATTAGAAAACAGCCCCATCTGATTGCAAATCATGGAGAAGATTACTTCCACTGTATTTGAATCTACTTTTAAAAATATTTGACATCCAATACCGTCTTTTGTCACTTTTTTCCTGTTCTCTTCATTTTATAATAATAATTAACGCACTGGCAGTCGCCGTTAATAGTAATTTTTCCTGTGGAGTTCCAACTACATTTCTGATCTTTAAGAGTCTCGTTCAGTTTTTAAGCCCCAGCAGACATTTTATGCATTAAAATCAAGCACCTAATATAAATTTTTCACTTGACAATTCGTTTTGAAAAGATCACATTGTCTAAAAGAAATAAAAGGTCGAAAAATCAATTTTTAAATAACATATTTAAAATAGCAAATTTCGAAAGATCATTGACTTTTGACTAAAAACAAAACCTCAGCTAAATAAAATAATTATTATCAATTTGTATAAACGGTTCATAATCTTCTTAATACCCGCTTAATTTTAGTTTACAAACAAGTACAGAGACCGTTCATCCCAATAAAAAAAAAACAGTAACGATGATACAAAACACATTTGATTTAACATTACCTTGACCTTAAACTTAGAATGTAAAGTGCGTTTAACTTTGTTTTATTCTTACACTTTTTCTATTTTAATTCAATAAAAATTTTCATTAACCGATTTGCTACTAGTTCATATAGGCGGTGGCTTATTTAATATTTTGTTGAGAAGATTACTTTAATCGTCAATTAGGTAATTTACCTTTTTTATTCGTACATTGTCCTATTTAAATAATACAAATATATAGGTTTGTACACATTGATTTATTTATAATTATGCAATCCACAGCTTTTAAAAAACAGGTTATGTTCTTTCTAAATACCTACCTAGTTGTTTACTATTTTCATAGTAGTACCATTGTATAAAGAACTAATAGTAGTCTCACCTTATGGAAGTTTCATTGGAGCGAAATGGATACTACCAATAGATGGCGCTAGTGAATATGGATAATTCGATATTCATTTGCAGTGGGCGGAGTTGAGGGTCCAGCAGAAATTTTTGAAAATGACGTAGACCGATCGATGGATTTCTATTTTTAGCTCTTGGATGAAATTTTATACACTCGTGATTGAATGTTTGGACTATTTACTATCTAATGTTTGTTATTGTGCGTTAGTGCGTTTACGGGTAGTAGGTATTGTGAATGAGTTGTGTTTATGTTTGAACAGTATTGAACAGTATTATTGGGATCGTTTTCATGTAATATATTGGATGTGTCTACTTTTTCATTTATGTAAGGGGTAATACTGTTGCAACTAGCCCCAAGATTACTTAAAAAATTCTTGTTACTGGGGATTTCAGTAAGTTGTAGTTCGGTTTCATTTTCTTTGTTATTGTCATTTAACAACATTATGTCCATGTACTTATCAACATCTTCGAAAATATGCTTGTTTCCCTGTTGTGAATTATCTATAATTTGTAATAGTTCATCATCAGGAACTAGCACCATGGTCCAATCATTATTTATGGCTTCACTCTCACAGGACATCTCAGATGTAGAAGTATGCAATATTTTAGTTTAGTTATGAAAAGTGTCAGGATTTTGAATAACATATTCTACTGAATTTAATTGTTCAGTACTTTTTGTAGGTGAAGCACAGTTTTGTTCTATGTTTCGAACATTATTTTCTGATGCATCCATACTAGAATCAAGGTAAGAAGTTGTTTGAGCATCATCCACAACATCTTGTAACATAGCCACAATTCGTTTTCCACGACTACACATCTATAAAAAAATACCGGATGTTAAACAATGTAAATAATATTTTTTTTTTTGTTGAAATAAAGTAGTTGTTTTCTCAGTGTAAATACATAAAAATAAAAGATTAGTATTTGGTTGCTTTTATATACCGATAATTTCTCTTTAAATACCATTATTTTACTTACCATTATTTACAACTCTGTTATAAACAGTGCCTAGTTATTCCAAATCAGCGAATTTAAACACACAATAACAAATTACGTCTCACCTCGTTGACAAGAACTAGCTAACTGAAGTATGGGTAGGTTAGGTTTGATCCGATTTATGTGTGAGGTTTACGCCAATTGACAGTTATTTCTATTACTTTTTTCTGGCTTACGCCAGTTTCTGTATGAGGGTTACGCCAATTGCTATTTATTTTTCTTACTTTTGTGTGGCTTACGCCCAAGGGTTACGCCGATTGACTTGTCCCAGTATATCTGAGACGTAGATTATAAAAAAATGTTTATTTCCAATTTGCGCGCCATTTTTTGGTTTATGGGCTACGCCAGTTGACCAGACCGTAGAGAAATGTCGGTAGTCTCATAAATGACGGTAACGCCATTTACCAAAAATTGAGGGTTACGCCTATTGACCTATGACCGATCGACATGTTTATTTTAGCAAAATAATTCATTTTACTAAATATTGTTGAAATCGCTCGAGCAGTTTTTCAGTTTTATATGTGGAACAAAACAGTTTTTCTTGTTTTTCTCAAAAACCAGTCAAGCAATTTTGATTAAAATTTGGGAAGATACTAGCCAAGATTTCATATATTTTTAAAAAAAATTTTGAATTTGTAGTTAATTTTTCCGGAGGTCCACTTAAACCTTAACATTATTAACCCATAATAGCTGCAATTATATTTTTCCACAATATTCTTATTGAAACTTTTAAAAAAATTAGAAATTCTAAACTTAATTAATTTCCCGAATTAATTTTTTTTCTTTCTACGATTTTTTCTTTCGGAGTATCTCTTTCTACAAATATTCATTAAAAATGATTGTAGTAATAATGGATAATTGTATTAAAATAATTTTTTTTTCTGCTACCGTGCGTAAAATACGTACTTTACGAACTTCACGGAGTGCGTAAATTACAACTCTTTAGGCACTAGTGAAAAAAAGTAAAATTTGACAAAAAATTTTCATAGCAACAAAATTACTTTACACACTAGTGTAAGAACTTTCTAAAATTAGTGTACGTTAGTAGGAAAAATATTGTATGAAACTCGTATGTAAAGTCCTTTTTTTGACTCGTCAAAAAAGAGTAAAATAACTATTTTTATTTGAATACAAAAAGCCAGACATTTTTAGAAATGACCATTGCAAATCTTTTTTAGACTGCAAAACTTCATTATGCATTTGGGCGTACAAGAGTACATTTTTTTACTAAAAGATTCTTGAGCTTGTTGCAACATATTTTTATTGATGAATCTTTTGTTATCAAGAATCTTTTTTTTTTTTTTCAGATATAATGGGTTCTTACCTCAAGGTGATAGAGGCCGGAGGAGAAGTAAGTTTGTTTTCTACAAAAGACAAGTTGCCAATGGCGTTAAGAGACTACGACATTACGTCGTAAGGACACCACATTCAACACAAGCCATTTTAGATGCCAATCAACATTCAATATCCTACACATTATCGAGAAACCACGCTGTCATAGTAGAGTATACAAGTGATGAGGACACTGACATGTTTCAGGTACAAACATCCTATTATTTAGTAAATTGGATTTTCGTATAAGCAGGTATCAAATCGTCTGGATAATATACGCAGACATCCGAACGGCGGATATTACTATTGAAATTTTAAATAAAGTTTCTAGACACTTCAAGGACGGGGACTTCTACTGATTTCTGAACGAATTTACGTCAAATTAGTTTATATCTAAGAGGCGCTGTTATCTCTTGCCTAGAGCCTAGTGCAAATAAATACAAAAATAATTTTTAACTGTAAATATCGACCGATTGCTATTAGGGGATCAAAACACCGGCTTTTAGTAAGCTCGCAAGCGAGGAAGGGATACAATAGATCGAAACAATTTTACCAAATAAAGTACCGAAATTCTCTGTCAAAATTTGATTGTTAAATTAAATGAATCCGTTAGAGTACCAAGTACCGGGCCTATAACCCATAGAGGAAAGTATCACGGACCCAAGCTTGGCTCAGGCTTGGCCCAACTATGCAGAACTCTGGGCCAAGCTTGTAAGCCAGTCTTGGGCCAGCCTTGGTAGAAGACTGAAATGATAATCTCGAGCCAAGCTTGGTTATCAAAACTGGTCCAGACTTCATTGTTAGCCAAGACTGGGTTATTCTTAATTGCCACGGCTGGTCCATGCTTGATTGCCATGACTGGCCCAAACTTCATTTTAAAGGCTGGGCCGTGCGTAATTGCTAGGTCTGGGCCATGTTTGATTACCAGAAATTCGTCATTGCCAGGACTACTTGTAGTTACCCGAATGAAGTCATTAATTATATAATAAAAATAATTATATCCATACCAACAGAGTCACTATCACTACTACTGTTAGAATCACTATTATCAAAATCATTGTTCAACGTCTGCAAATTACATGGTTTGACACCTAAAATGCTTTCTATATTTGAAACTTTTTTGTTTTATTTAACTCACGCCACCTTTTAACTCTAAGGTATGAATCAGACATAATGCTATCTATTAAGTAGCAACAAAAAGTACGATTTAAAGGTTAACAATAAAGAAACTCAACTACAGATATGCACATGAAAATAGTTTTACTGTTTCTCTGAGTTCTCAACGTTAATGTGGACACACTGAACACCCCGTGTTCCTTCTTCTATTAATTAATTCCCGCTACTCGCACGCCTCGCTCAGTGATAATGATTTAATAAACAAAATATACTAGAATCCCAGTCTTGGTCCAAAGCTGGGAAACTACAGGTAAGGCCGAGGCTCGGTTATTCAGTCCTAGGTCAAGGATGGGTAACTGCAGGCATGGTCAAAGCTGGATCTTCCATTCTTGGCCCAATTCTGGTTAGCCAATGAATGGCCGAAGCTAGGCTTTCCAGTATTGGCCCAGAACTGGGAAACCACAGCTAAGGCCGAGACTCGCTTACCCACTCTTGGACCAAGGACCGTCAAACACAGGCATGGCCAAAAAGCTGGGTCTCCCAGTCTTGTCCCAAGGATGGGAAACCACAGGTATGGTCTCGGTGGAGTACTCTTTCCTGATCAAAGCATGGGCCAATATAGGTACGCCGAAGCTAGATTCCCCAGTACTGGGCCAAGTATAGCCCCTTTGTCTAACTCGGGAACTCCTGTATGGGAAATCTACTTAATATTTTTTTATTTCAGATTGGAAGGTCCTCAGAAACCCCAATAGACTTTGTGGTGATGGATACTATACCGGGTGATAAGTCAGTAGAGACTAAAGTTAACCAAAGTACAATATCAAGGTTTGCTTGTAGAATATTATGTGATAGAACCAATCCCAAAATAGCTAGGATATATGCTGCCGGTTTTGATACATCAAGAAATATATTTTTAGGGGTGAGTTAGAAATCCATATGAATATAATACATACATTTTATTTTTTCAATCTTAATTTCCCAAGTTTGAGATTTTGTTTTTAAAGAAGTCGAGTCTTTTAAGCAAACTTTCAAAAGTATTCGCAAATTTAAAAAGAAAACTCAACGCCAATGCACTTTCAGCTGATTTTCCTTGTTTATAGTATAAATAACTTCCTTTCACTCGAACTCACGTTGTCTGATACGAGTAAAAGTAATACAGTGTAACCGCTACAACGGGCTATACAATGAATGGTAGATTGTCGATCACAATCTTATGCCTTTCGGGTCACTCATGTGAAGACGAGCGTGGGTTAGATCTTCTAAAATTATGAAAAAATACACAATAAACGAATACTATTGAATTCCTAATAAATTTGTTCTGAAAAGAACAGTTTGTTAATAATTTAATCTAAAATACAAATAATTTGTTGAAAAGAAATTGATCGATTCAAAATAATACAAAACAAATAACAATTGACAACAATGTATTAAAATTGAAAGCTGACACATTTGATGCCAACTTTTATTATGAAATTCACTAGAAAGTATTCCGTTAATAATCTGCCTATAGTACATTTACTACTGTGATATGATAAAAAATACATTTTTAATATACAATTTTATAAAAATGAACTCCATGCGTCTAAATTTATTCATTTATTTGCAAAATAAAATTTAATTATTTTTATTAGTGTGTGTGGTACCAATGACTGTCACTGATGTCATCTCTGACGTACATCAGTTTTTATATTGAATGCTCTTTAGTTCATTATGATGCTAATTAACCAACTTCGGCCCTGTCATAGAGTTCGGGTCTCCGCCCAGTTCCCCCACTCCTTTAACCTTTCTTTAGTTACATCTCTGGTCTCTTTAATCTAAGGGCAGGATCAAATTTGGTTATACTATCGATAGCTTTGGACTATTTCTTATGTGTGTGCGATTACATCTACAATACTTTTTCTTTTTAGGAAAAATCTTTAAAATGGCAGGAAAACGGTAGAGAAATCGATGGATGTACGACAAACGGAGTTCTCATTATGCATCCTCGTGGTAGTTTTTGTGGGGGCGAAGCCAAATGTGGATATTGGTTGGAGACGTCCGTAGGTGGAGGCATCTTTTCTTTAAGAGAGTCGCGATCTGCCCAACAAAGGGGTCAAGTGGTAAGAAATAAAGTTTTTATGCGAAATATATTCAAGGCTATATTTTTTTTGTTTATTATACGCCTCATTAGTGTGAGGTCAGCAAGCTAAACAAAAAGAAATTGTCATTAATTTTGACAGTTTTTATTTACATATCTTAAAAAAGTTAAAATAATTCATCCTTTTTCATGGGCATCGTTACACAATTATATAGGAGGGGCAAAATTTTGAATTTTTATTTGTTGAAAAACAAAGAAAATGAAAAATAAAAGAGCAATACAAATTAACAATAGTTTCTAATAAATAAAACAACCCAACAAAAAAGACAAAAACTAAAATAAAAAAAGACAAGAAACTTAAAACACATATTTTTAAAAAAGAGAAAGTGTGATATAAAAGAAAAATATACCTATGAAAAAATAAAATATTTATAGGAACACAAAAAAACTCACTCAAACACGTCGATGAATACTAGGAAAACGCAAATTTTCTTCCTCTACCTACAATAATCGATGACAGAAAACATGATTTCTTTTTAGTTTTTGCGTTATTTTTCAATGTACAAGGGGGGCAAGTGTCTCCCGTTTCCCCCATCAAACGACTCCTATGTCCTATTTTATTTTTTAAATTTGTACAACGCAGTAAACTACAGAGACATTTAAAGGAAAAGGTGTGAAAACTACTATACTCTGTTTTTAAACTAAGAGGAGCGATTTGAATTTAAGTTGGCAATTCTGTAGCCTTCTGATTGGTCAGATTACAGACCGGTGTGAACTTGGCAGCCAATTTCTAGCAGCCAAAATTCCGAATATTACCGAATGATCAGTAGCGTCGTTTAAATAGAGGCAATTAATTATTAGGTGAGAAATAGGACACAAACAATTTAAATTTCTACCGAAATTTGATAATAGGATGTTCTTTTAATTGTCACATCAATATTAATTAAAATAAAAGGACAATAGAATACTTTAAAAATATTATTATTTTACCCGACAAGTTAATAAGTCACATCAAAAGGTATTTTACAATATTTATAATGGTAGTATTAACTCAAACAAAAAATATGATATAATAAAAAATTCCCACAAGGGTAAACTACCCCGTAATAATAAAATATATATTTTGTCAGAGAAACAAATAAGTTATCACTTTAAACTGTGTTTTTATTAGTTAAAATACATTATAATAAAAATATGAATTACTGTAGCCCCTCCCAACAGGGGTAAAATGCCCTTAGGATAATAAAAAAATTAGTTTTCCAAAGAAGAAAATAAATTATCAATTTTAAATGTGATCTTAAAAACTTCTACCAGTGTTACATACTTACAGTAAAAATATAAATTACTAGCGACCCTCCCAACAGGGGTAAAATGTCCTTAGGATAATAAAATAATTAGTTTTCAAAAGAAGAAAATAAATTGTCAATTTTAAATGTGATCTAAAAAATTTGTATTAGTGTTATATACTTACAGTAAAAATAGAAATTACTAGCGACCCTCCCAACAGGGGTAAAATGCCCTTAGGATAATAAAATAATTAGTTTTCAAAAGAAGAAAATAAATTATCAATTTTAAATGTGATCTAAAAAACTTCTATTAGTGTTATATACTTACAGTAAAAATAGGAAATACTAGCGACCCTCCCAACAGGGGTAAAATGCCCTTAGGATAATAAAAAAATTAGTTTTCCAAAGAAGAAAATAAATTATCAATTTTAAATGTGATCTTAAAAACTTCTACCAGTGTTACATACTTACAGTAAAAATATAAATTACTAGCGACCCTCCCAACAGGGGTAAAATGTCCTTAGGATAATAAAATAATTAGTTTTCCAAAGAAGAAAATAAATTATCAATTTTAAATGTGATTTAAAAAACTTCTATTAGTGTTATATACTCACAGTAAAAATATGAATTACTAGCTACCCTCCCAACAGGGGTGAAATGCCCTTAGGGTAATAAAATAATTAGTTTTCCAAAGAAAAAAATAAATTATGAATTTTAAATGTGATCTTAAAAACTTCTATTAGTGTTACATACAGTAAAAATGTAAATTACTAGCGACCCTCCCAACAGGGGTAAAATGCCCTTAGGATAATAAAATAATTAGTTTTCCTAAGAAGAAAATAAGTTATCAATTTTAAATGTGATCTAAAAAACTTCCATTAGTGTTATATACTTACAGTAAAAATATGAATTACTAGCGACTCTCCCAACAGGGGTAAAATGCCCTTAGGATAATAAAATAATTAGTTTTTCAAAGAAGAAAATAAATTATCAATTTTAAATGTGATCTTAAAAACTTCTATTACTGTGGTATACTTACAGTAAAAATATGAATTACTAGCGACCCTCCTAACGGGGGTAAAATGCCCTTAGGATAATAAAATAATTAGTTTTCCAAGGAAGAAAATAAATTATCAATTTTAAATGTGATTTAAAAAACTTCTATCAGTGTTACATACTTACAGTAAAAATATAAATTACTAGCGACCCTCCCAACAGGGGTAAAATGTCCTTAGGATAATAAAATAATTAGTTTTCCAAAGAAGAAAATAAATTATCAATTTTAAATGTGATCTAAAAAATTTCTATTAGTGTTATTTACTTACAGTAAAAATAGGAATTATTAGCGACCCTCCCAACAGGGGTAAAATGCCCTTAGGATAATAAAATAATTAGTTTTCCAAAGAAGAAAATAAATTATCAATTTTAAATGTGATCTAAAAATCTTCTATTAGTGTTATATACTTACAGTAAAAATAGGAAATACTAGCGACCCTCCCAACAGGGGTAAAATGCCCTTATGATAATAAAATAATTAGTTTTCCTAAGAAGAAAATAAATTATCAATTTTAAATGTGATCTAAAAAATTTCTATTAGTGTTATATACTTACAGTAAAAATGGGAATTACTAGCGACCCTCCCAACAGGGGTGAAATGCCCTTAGGGTAATAAAATAATTAGTTTTCCAAAGAAAAAAATAAATTATGAATTTTTAATGTGATCTTAAAAACTTCTATTAGTGTTACATACTTACAGTAAAAATGTAAATTACTAGCGACCCTCCCAACAGGGGTAAAATGCCCTTAGGATAATAAAATAATTAGTTTTTTAAAGAAGAAAATAAATTATCAATATAATTAGTTTTCCAAAGAAGAAAATAATTTATCAATTTTAAATGTGATCTTAAAAACTTATATTATTGTTACATACAGTAAAAATATAAATTACTAGCGACCCTCCCAACAGGGGTAAAATGCCCTTATGATAATAAAATAATTAGTTTTCCTAAGAAGAAAATAAGTTATCAATTTTAAATGTGATTTAAAAAACTTCCATTAGTGTTATATACTTACAGTAAAAATATGAACTACTAGCGACTCTCCCAACAGGGGTAAAATGCCCTTAGGATAATAAAATAATTAGTTTTTCAAAGAAGAAAATAAATTATCAATTTTAAATGTGATCTTAAAAACTTTTATTACTGTGGTATACTTACAGTAAAAATATGAATTACTAGCGACCCTCCTAACAGGGGTAAAATGCCCTTAGGATAATAAAATAATTAGTTTTCCAAGGAAGAAAATAAATTATCAATTTTAAATGTGATTTAAAAAACTTCTATCAGTGTTACATACTTACAGTAAAAATATAAATTACTAGCGACCCTCCCAACAGGGGTAAAATGTCCTTAGGATAATAAAATAATTAGTTTTCCAAAGAAGAAAATAAATTATCAATTTTAAATGTGATCTAAAAAATTTCTATTAGTGTTATATACTTACAGTAAAAATGGGAATTACTAGCGACCCTCCCAACAGGGGTGAAATGCCCTTAGGGTAATAAAATAATTAGTTTTCCAAAGAAAAAAATAAATTATGAATTTTTAATGTGATCTTAAAAACTTCTATTAGTGTTACATACTTACAGTAAAAATGTAAATTACTAGCGACCCTCCCAACAGGGGTAAAATGCCCTTAGGATAATAAAATAATTAGTTTTTTAAAGAAGAAAATAAATTATCAATATAATTAGTTTTCCAAAGAAGAAAATAATTTATCAATTTTAAATGTGATCTTAAAAACTTATATTATTGTTACATACTTACAGTAAAAATATAAATTACTAGCGACCCTCCCAACAGGGGTAAAATGCCCTTATGATAATAAAATAATTAGTTTTCCTAAGAAGAAAATAAGTTATCAATTTTAAATGTGATTTAAAAAAATTCTATCAGTGTTACATACTTACAGTAAAAATATAAATTACTAGCGACCCTCCCAACAGGGGTAAAATGTCCTTAGGACAATAAAATAATTAGTTTTCCAAAGAAGAAAATAAAATATAAATTTTAAATGTGAGCTAAAAAACTTCTATTAGTGTTATATACTTACAGTAAACATATGAATTACTAGCGACCATCCCTACAGGGGTAAAATAAATTGATAATTTATTTACTTCTTTGGAAAACTAATTATTTTATTATCCTAAGGGCATTTTACCCCTGTTGGGAGGGTCGCTAGTAATTAATATTTTTACTTTAAGTATATAACACTAATAGAAGTTTTTTAGATCACATTATCCTAAGGGCATTTAACCCCTGTTGAGAGGGTCGCTAGTAATTCATATTTTTACTTTAAGTATATAACACTAATAGAAGTTTTTATAATCACATTTAAAATTGATAATTTATTTTCTTCTTTGGAAAACAATTATTTTATTATACTAAGGGCATTTTACCCCTGTTGGGAGGGTCGCTAGTAATTCATATTTTTATTTTAAGTATATAACACTAATAGAAGTTTTTATAATCACATTTAAAATTGATAATTTATTTTCTTCTTTGGAAAACTAATTATTTTATTATCCTAAGGGCATTTTACCCCTGTTGGGAGGGTCGCTAGATTCATATTTTTACTGTAAGTATATAACACTAATAGAAGTTTTTTAGATTACATTTAAAATTGATAATTTATTTTCTTCTTTGGGAAACTAACTATTTTATTATCCTAAGGGCAT